ACTATTTGCATACATCGTTCCAGGCTGGAAGAAACAGTGAGGTGGTCAGACTATGACGTGGCTTACAGGGTTAGAGAGATTGTGCTCGGATCTCGCCTCCGTTGGGACTCCCCGGTTGGGGCCCCAAGGATTCAAACTGTCTTTGGTTTGAGACAATGCGGGATATGGCATCAAATTGAAGTCAGTACAGCGAATGCATCTTTTCTCGTGTGTGATCCCCAAAATTAAATACAAATAAGAGAATAAAGAAACTCAAAATGGCGTGTAAAAAACAAACAAAAAATTTGTTATTCCCCCAAGTTGACTGTTTTGTTTTCACCGTTTCTGTACCTATAATTTTCGGTAAACCACGGTTATTTAGGCACCTTATTCAAATACGAGATAGTTCTGACAAAATCACCATCCTTGGATTCTTGGGCTGACCGAGGTAAGATACTCTCTCCCTATGTGTTCGCAAAGGGGCGTGGGTCTTCAACATAATACACTATATATGTACACTATATACACTATATGTTTGAGTTTTACCGACGAGGCCCCTGGTTCGTTCCCTATTCGCTTTCGGCAGATCCACATTGCTGACGGCAGTGGGTTGAAAAGATGACCGTAAACAGCTCGTCAGTCAGACCGGTTAAAAATTCCGCCAGTTGATTTTGGAGCCAACGTCGTTGTTTGTCATATCCAATCATAAAACGTGAACAGCGTAAATAGAATTTCCACATTGAATGGATGCGTACACCGATATCTGAATAGAACGTTCGCTATACTTTAATACGTCAACCCTGCTCTTTTTTATCTCAAACAATCGAGTTAGGACAATTTTATCAATACCTTTTTCCAATTCGTTTCTATTGTGCTCATCCAATCCATTCCACACCACACACCACACACACACACTACCCGACATGTTCCAATCACAGATACCCATACCGCTCAATTACTGTCACAATCACGTGACCAGTCGGACGAGGTGATGCAACAGTTGATGGAATTGCAACAACCGGACACCAAACGTGGTCTCATGGAACGGGAATTGCGTGCTCGCAAGCAACGAAAACGTCAGCTGCGCACACGGCACAAACAACTGCTGAAACGAATTCAAGTACTACAAGCGATTCAAGGCACTATTGATCGCCAATATGCCAGTTTGCGTGATGTGTGCGTGGAAAAACGTCAACGATTAGAGGAACTACTTGCTCTGAATGTGGTCTACGAAGAGATTGTTGATTTGGAAGTAAGTATACCGATCGACCTGGGGCGTAACCCATTGGATCATGTCAGTTTGTTCTTCATGGGTTCACCTTTGGGTACGCAGATTTACTGTACAATTCAACTATCATCGTTTTCTTTTCACAAATCTCAAGGAAACAATCCGTGATAACAGGAAAACATAAACATCAGCCGAAAAAAGTTGAGATCAAATTTTGATAATTTGGCCAAAAAGACCAAATATTGTGCCGAGGTGTTATCCCGTGGACCACTGGAATGTTTACTATACTTTCCGGTTTATCTGGAAACAGATAATCCGCCCTAATTTGACACATATCCATGAGGACACAAGATTTGTGAAACGTTTCGTTGATTGGTCTAAATTTAAACTCCAATTTGATAAAATTGCTCAATTATTACCCGGGTTTCTGTACCACTGTACTTGAATTACACTATCGGAGAGCAGTGATCGTGTCGAATGATTTATGCGCTATGCATTACAATTGATAGAAAGATATTGTAATTCAGAGATGGACTTCAACCGGCAGAATATGGCTGAGGGGTGTGACTGAGTGTTTGGAGGGAGGATATATATATCACCTGCTTGTAAGCCAGCTTGGTGCCGACGCGACACCATAATAACAGAAAATGGGAAGAAGGAATACATGGCACTAAAAAGGAGGCCAAATAACCAAGTTCAAAAACGAGAAAAACAATTTTTGTGGTTGTTTTGCTGTACGCCTTTTGATATTTTTTGTGGGAATTCATCGTGTTTTTGTTTATGAGGCACGGGATTTCACCAGGCAAACAGTACACCATTCACGCCACTCACTGACTTCTATTCTGGGCCATATCTCTCTCAGCGTCTCTAACCAACGACATTCCTCATCTCTTAGGCCCCGACGAGGAAGGCTGACTAAACCAACGCAAGCCAAAGCTGAAGTCAGCTTCTTCAAATGTCTATCCGATATTATGGTCTGACCCCCGTGGCGCTTCTTCCAGCCTTGCGCGGTACGTGAAAAGAGAGCACGGAAAGATAGTCTATGGACAAGCATGCGCAAAACGTAACCAAGCCATTGGAGACGGTTTAGAGCGATTACTTCTGGTA